TCTCTCTCTCTCTCTCTCTCTCTCTCTCTCTCTCTCTCTCTCTCTCTCTTTCATTTTCTTTTTTTTTTGGCCAGAAGAAGTCGATTTTTTTTTTTTCTTTTTCTTTTTTTTTTTAATGTGTACCTACCTGTAGCTCGAGGCTCGGCAAGGTTCGGGATACCGGTAGGCTGAGCCACGGGCCTTAACAACCGGCAGGTACTGGGGTTTAATAAAAGTGTCGTTCTGTTTATTGAAAAGGAAAACAGCCCTAATTTCTGAATACCTCCAAGGTGCAGTCAAACGGGCCAAAATCCTACCGTCAGCCGCATTCAAGGGTCTGGATCACAAACCCATTCTTTTGATTCTGAACTTCAACTCCCCGGTGGAAAAGGGACAGGGCTTCTATAGACTGAATAACTCCCTCCTCTCCACAAACCGTCTGACTGAAGCAGTCAAGTGGAACTGGTTGTTAATGGGACAAAATGAGGCCAGGAGAAGAGACAGTCACCAATGGTTTATCGATAGCTACACAGACCTCACTCAGGCAGTCTCAGCCGAATCGAGAAGTATAGCGGGGGAACGTAGGATCAGAAAAGAGGAACTCCGAATTGCCATCACATTAGCCGAGACTAACCTTGCAATAGACCCTACCAACAACTTCTACATCGACCTGCTCGAATCATTAAAGGAAGAACTCAATGAGTGGAGAAGGTGGGAACTGAGAGGCCTGCAACTGCGAGCCAGGATGACCGACTATTCCCTCAATGAAGCCATGTCAAAATTCTTCTTCTCCAAAATTAAAGCAAACACCAGAAACAACATGATCGAGGGACTGATAAACCCAATGAATCAAGGAAGGGTCGAAACTGCAGGTGCATTCATGGTACAAATAGCCAGGTCTTTCTACGCAGAACTTTACGAACCCAAAACACCTTCTCCCCTCCCAAAAGCAAACCTAGCTGCTCGCCAACACGTGATGTCTTACTTAGAGAGGACAATCACGCCGGAACAGACAGAAGGCCTGGACAGACCATTCACCAAGGGGGAACTTCAAAATAGCCCTAAGCCAAATGGGCAGCAAGAAGGCTTCAACCTCCAGGCATTGGCGGCCTATTGAAAGACTCCTGGATACATTTCTGGCCTACACTAGGTGATGGTCTCCTCAACTTTTTCAATGATAGCAGGGACAGGGGAGGACTACCATCTTAAACCGAAAACAAGGTACGCACCTTCTATACGAATACAAGGTACGTGGTACCTTGTATTCGAATACAAGGTACGTACCTTGTAGAACGAATTTTAGGATGCAACTTTCCTAGGCAAGGCGGAAAATAAAAATAAAAATACAGTAAATATTAGTAATAATATCACGAATAGGACACAATCGACTGCAACCATGACGGGGCTGCAGCGTGAAGGTTTTTTTTTTTTTTTTTTAAAGAACACATTGACTACGCTGTGTGTTCACGATTCGGCATGCATTCAAAAATTACATGTGTTTGAGTGTGTGTGTGTGTGTGTGTGTGTGTGCGTGTGTGT